AGGAAGTTTTGCAGTATCGAGGGTTGCGTTAAATAATGGAGAAGGATCTGATCACATTCTTGTCCAATGTGAGATAACATGTTGTATGAGATCCAGTCTTCTCCTGGTACTGATCTTTGTTGTTGTTTTCACAGAGCTTGGTGGGGTTCAGAGTGGTTAGTGTCGTCAGACTCTTCGATGACATATTCAATGATGAGGAGCTGCAAAGGTCTGTTAGGAGCAAGTTTATCTATTGTGTTTTGTGGTAGCATCTGTCGGCAAATTACACATTAAACCTGCATTTTTTCGGCAAATTGGTAAATTTTAACAATTTCTGCTGCTAATTAGTCGGCGCTCTCTACGAATGGTTCACAGAACATAGAATTATTTTGTGACTAATAAAGTCACCAATGCCCAACGCCCAGTGACCATGCCCTTTGTCGGCAAATTTGAAACATTACACCCCCTCTGCAATGCTGCCTTCCCGACGGCCCTGTTGGTAGTTCACACCCGGTGAACCAGTTTTGGTTTCTTATTTCAAGAAGTTTTTTCTTCACGAGTATTGGTACAGGGTGAGATTGGTGATGGAGGGAAATTTGAACTTTTTGGTGATATGAATACTGTAGTGAAGTTCAGCAACTTAACCATTATAGTACCAGTGATTAGTGTATTGTTTTGAGGGTACAAGGAGTTAGCTCTGTTTGTGAATAAGTTTAGTATACCACCTCTGATGTGCATAGCAAGATTTTTGTTAAATAACGATAGGTGAAGTATTCAGCAATGTGGGTGCTGGTAATGTTCGTTGAATGTGGATGAGGGGACGTGGGGTGATTGAAAATTGGGTGGTGAGCATTGAAGTCGCCTCCGAGAAATATGGTTCTGTCTTCTGCTAACACAGAGATTTCTCCAAGGTCGAGGATGGCATTTTCTGAGAGAGGTCGCGTGAATGTTGTAAACATCAATGGCTTCTTGAAGGTAGAGTGCAATTGTTTGGCTTTCAATGGTTGTACCCTAAGTGGCTAGTTGAGTGATAAGACTGCTTGGTATTGAATTTTTAACAATTATTATGAGGCCTCTTGTGCCTCCTCTGGCATACAGTGTGCGATGCACTTGATAGTTTGAGAATTTGATATGGTCTCCATCTTGGAATGTTTCCTGTAGTATAGCAATGTCGATGTCTTCTCTGTATAAGACATATTTGAGGAAGGGTAGGTGAGTGCACAACCCAAATAGATTCCATTGAATAATGATAATAATTGGTTTATTAAATATCATGCAGCCAGGGGCTAAAATATACATAAAAATACAAATAAAGAGACAAACAAACAATATGTGAAGCTTGTATGGGGTAGACCTCACGATGTCTCTGATATGCGTGTCCAGGAGAGCTATTTGTCGATGGAGACGCCGAGCAGCTTGGTGGAACAGATTAAGTTGAACATATGGTTGTCCAGCGTGAGGATAGGCGCAGGGGTGGGGTTGGTGGAGAAGTCGAATTGCGGTTGATAGTGACATGATTTACTGTAGTCCAGGAGAGGAGGATGGTGGACTGTCAGGAATTGTCAATGGCGGCGGCGATGGTCGAGTCATCCACGTATTTCTAACAGTGCTCGGTGTTAATCACGATGAAGAAGCACAGGGGACCTATTCTAGTCCCCTGGGCTACTCCGCACGTGAGTGACAGGAGGCTGGAAACTTGACCCTGCATGCACACAGTTTGTTGCCTGTTAGAGAGAAAGTCTTCCAACCAGGGGATGAGGCACTCACTGATACCCGTGGAGGCTGCTGCTTTTGAGATGACAGTGGTGTGGTCCACCAGGACGAAAACTTTCTTGAACTCTGTGAAGATGCTGGTAACAGAGGATTTCTGCTTGTCAAGGTGGGCAAGGGCGAAGTCGAGGAAGCTGACGAAGCAGCGTAGAGGAGGAGCGTGTGTTGCCGAACTGCCAGATCTACTTCCGAGTGTAAGAAGGAACTGGAAGATGATGGGAAGTTAGAGAGGGGTTTCTTCATGAGGAGAAGAGGAAGACTGGTGGCAATAGATGTCACATTGTTTATTAGTTGGACCAATTGACTCAGCATTTGGTTGGCTTCTCCCATGTGGATGTGGGAGGTGGGGGGGGTGTAGAGGAGGATACTTTTAAGGTTGAGTTGGTGACTACTTTTGAACAGAGTTTGGCAGGTTGTCTGCTATTCCCCTGGGTTCATCAGCTTTAGTGACTGATGGCCATTCTGGTTTATGGGTCGTTGGGTTGCTGGGTGGGTTTTGAGCAGTGAGGAGGTTGTGTGTGCTAGCTGCAATTGGAGCACGGGCTGTGTTAGGTAACCTGGCCTGTCTTTGTGGGCATTTTAGATTTTAGGTGTTGTGTTTTTTGTTGTAGTTTGGGCATTTGGGTGTGACTACTCCTTGCTTGAGTTTGTCCACACAAATTTGTGTATCATAGATGTTGGAGCATGCAGTGCAGCGGGGGTTTGAGCAGCATTGTCTTTTGTGGTGTTCTAATCTTTAACATTTGAAACATCTTAGGTTCGAGCTCTGGTTTTGAGAGAGCCGGGGTTTCCAACTGCTATTTCATCGGGGATATCTCATTTGATGTTGAAGAGGGTTTGACGGGTTTCAGTTTCGATAGTGTGCGATACTAGTCTGTTTGCAGATACTTACGACTTTGGGGAATTTTTCGAGATCATCAATTCGGAATTCATGTGGGTATCCCATACGGATGATTTTCTTGGTTGCTACTTGTTGGAGCTTAGTGTGTGTGTAAAGAGAACAAACCTTGCAGACGCTTCATTCTTGGAGGAGATGATAAAGGAGCTACTTAGCGTGACCTTGGTGGCCATGACAAGCATGGGGAATTCTTTTTTCCAGAACTAATAGGGCACTGTACACAATGTTGCTTCTGAGGGCGAACTTCATCTTATCAAATTCTTGGTAGTTGAAAGTGGGAGTGGGAGAGTCCTCAAATTGTTCAATTTCAGCCATCTCTTCAGAGATGTCGGAGGTGGCGATGGCGTCTTCTGGTGGCTGAGGGCAAGGGGCGTTGACTTTGGCCTTCTTGGGAGGAGCAGCGTCTTGGGTCTTGGAGGAGAAGGTGATGAGTGAACCAGGCAACAGTTCATGGCCTGGTTTGAAGAGGTGCTGGATGACAGCTCATGGTCCAGCAGAAGAAGGGAGCAAGGGAGCGAGAATGGTAGATTGCACCATTAGAGAGAATTAGCCAAGGCGCGGAAAATAGGGAGGAGGAGGAGGTAGACGGCGTCTCCAGCCTAGGACGGTGCAGGATAGATTCCCTGGTCGGATCCTGGTCAGGGGGGTGTTCCTCACGGGTACGTGCGCACGTGAGCCTCTGTACCGTGTATTCAGTCCTTGGGTTGTCTGGGCTGGCGCAGTTGAAACACCACGTCTGGCAGGGCGGACGGAGATGGAACGGGGCCGCGCGTAAAGAAAGCCAGTTGAACCGCGCCTTAAGAATTAATATGATTATAATAGTAATTGAGATTTGAATGGCTTACACCTGATGCCACATCTTATGCTAGAATTACGGGCTTATAACTTAGTTGTTCTAAAGCAACACCTATTTTACTGCATTTACTGCATAGGTTACTTGATTGACTTCCACATTCCTACGTGCTATATCATTACTGTTAAAGTTATTATTCATATAAGGATGATTTTGACCTTTATAATGGTAAACGATGATACAATAATGATTATGATATTATTAAAGGATAACAATAATAGTGACAATGATAACAGCAATTGCAATGGCAATGACAGTGATGATAATGATTATGATAAAAATAGATACATTCATATCGTGCTTATTCATTAATTACGTCGACTATTTCTATTATATTTTGTTAGTATATATCGATTGGAAAATTTTGATATCTAGTTCTAGAAAAAAATATCATTATAATAATTATGATAATGGTTATAATAATAATAATAAAGATTACGAAATTATAATTATAAGAATTATTATAATTATCATGATAATAATATTGTTAATGACAATAATGATAGTGATAATAATAATAATAATAATAATAATAATAGTAATAATGATAATAATAATGATGATAGGGGTGATAATAGTAATGATATTAACAATAATAATGATAATAGTGATAATGATAATGATAATAATAATAATATTAATGACAATAATAAGAATGATAACGGTAATACTAATAGTAATTATAACAATATTAGTAATAATATTAACAACAATGATAACAATAATAGTAGCAGTGGTATTAAGGATAATAATAATAGTAATAATAATAATGATAATAATAATAATAATAATAATAATAATAATAATAATAATAATGATAATAATAATAATAATAATAATAATAATAATAATAATAATGATAAATAAATAAATAAATAATAATGATAATAACAATTATATCGATGGCAATGATCATGACAATAGTCATAGTAATAATAATACTGATGATAATAACTATGAGAATAAGTGATAATAATAATGATAATAGTAATAGTAACAACAATAACAATCGTATGGTGATGAAATGATAATAAAAATAAGTATAAGAAGAATAAAAATTATTAAACTGATGATGTTCATGATAATAATGTTGATGATGACACTGTCCATAGTAATGATGACAATCATGCTGATATTGTTAATAGTGATAATTATAAGGATAACATTCATGTTGATAATGATTATAAAAACAATAACAGGAACAACAGGTGTACCATTTATGATATAACAAAAGTTATAAAATTGTTATGGTACAAATAACATTCTTGTAGATATTTTTGCGCACGTATTCCCTTCCATATCTCTGTCTGAATACTGACTTCGGCTTGGACTTTAAAGGTATAAGAACAAATCCATAAACCAAGTAACACATAATAACCTACCATAAAAAAACAAGTAATTTCGATATCATATTATAACCCCTCTTTGATAATATCGAAATGATATATCCATGTTTATTTCTCGGTATATATTTTTCTCAGTTCGAACGCACGTAAATACAGCTGATCCGAGCGCTCACATGTTTACGTCGGTGCACCAGCGTGAGAATTGGGGAAGAGGAAGGAAAACTCAATAAAAGAAGGAAAAAGAAGAGAACTTGGCAGTGTAGATAGTAAGAAACGCCACCAGAGAAGAAAGAAGAACGTGGGAATTCATCTGTGAGTACTCCTAATAATAGCCACGAGCGAGATATATATCGTTTGTTTCTTTTTCATCAAATATGCTGGCAAATGGTACCAAGACTACCGCATAAACTGTACTAGAAAGTTTCCTTCATATTTTCCCACACAATTCTCATAGTATGCTATATGCCCTTACTTACTATGGAAGCTAATCATCTGGGGCATATGGGTTGGCCGCACGATATATTTCCCATTTGGGTAACTGGTATTTGAGTCCCAAAACCGAAAATCCAGAAAATCCTAAATTAAGCTTTCATACTTTCTATTTATTAGAGGTGGTATCTCCCATGAGGGGGTCTACCTGATTCTTTGTATAGTATTTATATGTACCCCACAATTTCCATAGTACTTTTCATGCCCAGCCCTATCATAGGGGCTAAGATGGTCGCAAATGTGTGTGTGTGTGTGGGGGGGGGGGTTCTGCGGCATAAATTTGATATTTTTGGATAGTAGAGAGAGAGAGAGGAATCCATCGATATCAAAATTGTTGCAGTTGGTTATGCGAAGGTATTTGGAAAAATCACACCTATTTGTATTTATACGAAGGAGTGAAGAACTCATTAGTACTGTAATCTTGTTCTGTGATGTATAGGTCCCTACAATATTTATTCTTATTTCTGTGTTAGTCACCTCATTAACCCATCGCTGACGGGTGAAGAAAATAAATAAAAATTCTACACTCTGGATATTAATGGCAACAAGCAGACTCTGGGCATTGGAGTCCGCTACATCAAGCTGAACATCCCACTCCAAGCTTTTTGGCGTGTCACCACGGTGTCCAGGGTGCATATCATGCACTTAGGCCCGAAGATCTCCAGAGTGGAGTTAGCTTTCCTGTCGGCGTGGTGGCGTAGAATTAGCCTAAATTACATTCCTTGGTGTATTGGCGTAATGAAATGGAAAAATCTCGGCGCATGCTTTTTTATCTTTACTGTTTTTTCAAGCTTTTAAGTTGAACGCAATGCACTTATACATAGTCGTTTGTTTTATTCCTTTACAATGCAGGCCCCCCCCCCCCCACTACACTCCTTGCTGCTGTTTTTTAACAAACATCTGAGGCTCAAAATCCCAAATTTTTAAGAATCACAAAGCTGGGGAAAAAATTCATGATTCTTATTAAAATGTGTGTGCTGCCATCAACAATCTACTTGACATCATACTTTATGAAAAATTACTCTTATCGGGAATGTTGGCGTACACTCGATGAGCTATTGGTGCACCTCTGGCATGAGTTTTACACAGAATGCACCCTGGCGTGGTGTACAGCTGTACCCTGCAGACTGAGCTGTTTGTTATGATGCCAGTAGGTGTCGTCCGTCAGTAAGGGATTAATGACATCTAACTATTGGATTGGTGATTGGTTTTACCGGTTATGATATATTCTCTTCTTTGAAATTTTATGGTTATAAATTTTGTTTACAGATCTGTACAAATAAAACTATAAATTAAACAAAACCTGAACGTCAAGGAAGAATCAATGAAGAAAGAACAGAACACAAATACAGACAAGGTAAGAGCTCATAATTACTTGTATTAATAATCACATTTTTTCTTTGTTTGTTTTATGGATCTTTTTAATAGGAAAGGGTGCTTGTGTATTCAGTTACCATTAAAGGAAAATATTCTCCAAATCCTGCCCTCTAAAGTATTGTGTGGGATCTCTTTCATTCAATTTATAACCTGTGGGTGGGGATTTTGGGTTGTGAAGGTATATATGTGGGTCATTGATATATAATGTCTATTCTTGATGAATGAGAATTGACTATTGTTTGTTTTGTCGTTTTCTAGTTCTAAAATTGTTAAATATTTGACAACCAGTAAATATATAGTTTTGCTTTATGAGATACTTTTGTTAGCAGGGATGAAATATTGTGGTACAGTATATCATACAGGTGTTCATTTTCCAGTCAAAGATGGAAGCTATCATAAAGATATTTTCCGCACCTTACTGTGGTTATAAAGTTATGATTAAAAAAAAAAGATAATAATAAAAATGAAAATAGATAAATATCTTTATTAATGTACACATCAGGAAGTGGGAATATTTTCCAAAGAGGTTCCTTTTGCGTAATTTATGGCAGCATTATATGGATGTTTTTATTTTGTTTGATATAAGTGACTCATTCAAAGGATAAAAAAAAAAAAAAATTGATAATCACAATAGAGTCACCAATACCCTAATGTTACACGTTGCCCAGGATAGAAAGATGAAATTTCTTCTGCTTTTCTTGATGTAGAATATTACTGTAGAATATTACTGAATGCCGTTTCCTTGCCACGTTAATGAATATTTTGCGAATGGCACAGATGAAGGGTAAGAAGTGGAAGGAGAAGAAAAAGGGGAAAAAAGCCCCTGGAATGGAGGATGACATGAATGAGGTCTTGGCTGACCCTCGTTTCGCCCATGTTGCCTCCGACCTGAGGCTGAGATACATGCCCAAGGACGAACGCAAAGTCAAACTCGATAGTCGCTTCTCCTCTGTACTCACGGTAAGTTTGCTTTCAGTATCTAAGCTACAACTGTGCCTTTTGTGGTTGTTGTTACTGGGCCCAGTGGTAATTATGATGATGAATTATATTGATCTATACATTATTATCACATTATTTTTATCATCATCATCATCATCATTATCATCATCATCATCATCATCATCATTTTTATTATTATTGTTATTGTTATTATTATTGTTATTGTTATTATTATTGTTATTGTTATTTGAAATATTAATGTCAAAGCTTTTCCACAGGATGACAAATTCTATGAGAAGCATACCATGGACCCACGGGGTAGGAAAGGGAACTACTCCACAAAGGAGGACCTTCTCAGATTTTATCGCATGTCATCGGACGAGGAGAGCAGTGACGAGGAGACGGCGTCCTCCGCAGATGAAGACGAAAGTATAGGGGAGGCAGAGAAGGTGGAGGTCGAAAGCCAAGGAGAGCAGAAAAAGAGTGAAAAGAAAGGTTCAGCAAAGAAGATCCAAAAGGCCAAAGATGATTTGAAGAAAAAGGAGGTCAGGAAAGAAATAAGGGAATCCGTAAAAGATGAGGAAGAAGGTCAGAAAGCATTTGATGATTTTACATTTTAGTTTGTAGATTTATCCTCTGGTTTATTTGTGAGAATGAATTTAGCCAAGATTTACCTTTTTTTGACAAGTCTGTAATTTTATACTGCTATATATATGCAGTTCACCTAACCCTCTGCTATCACACCTAATTAGTTGTACACCTGTATTCTTTAGCTTTAGTTCATGGTAATAGTTAAAAACTAATTGTAATAATTGTAATTCGTTCTGAGGAAGATGTGCCTCCCATATATTTTTTGAGAATATTTTCCCCCCACAACACTCAAGGTATGAATGAGAAGGAATATTTATATTGTGCAAGAGATGTATTTGATGTGTTCTGTAATATCATTATCAGAATGACATGTGTCAGCAGGATGAGATTGTTATCAATGGGATTTTTTTTTTTATAATGCTAGTGAAATTGATACTGTTATTATTTTGACATTCCAATTAATATACTGTTATTTAAATACTGATAACATAAAAATAGAAAAAAATATCCTTGCCAAAAAACAAAGGAAGGGGTAAACATTTAACAGTTGATAGGTAGGATTAATGATTGACAAAGCACTTGTTGAGCCATCTGTGTAAACAATCCATGTCCACTGGGTTAACTATTGCAATGTGCATGATAGTTGTAATTCATGTTAGCAGACTGTGTAATTTTTATGATGTTAAAGATAATAGAATCTGCTGAAAAGCTAGTGCTAGTGTAAAATCTCAAAATTATTTATCATTTTAGAGGAAAGAAGAGACAGAACAGCCAAGGAGGTTGCAAATATACCAGATAACCTACGAGAAAAACTCCAAGATTTGGACATGGACTATGCCCGTGGTGAGCTGTTCTTCTCAGATGACTCCTCAGATGATGACTCCAGCACAACAGATGAGGACGACGAACCAGAGGAGTTTGAGTGGGGAGAGCTTGACCACGATGCAGAGTGGGAGACTGAAGATAATGAAGTAGAGGTGAAGCTTTTTTTTTTTAAGTCTCTTGCTTTCTCAGTCTGTCCCTTTTTCTTCCCCTACTTTTTCTCCCCCCACTTTTTCTCCCCCCATTTTCTTTCCCCCCACTTTCTCTCTCATGCCTCTGTTTCTTTGTGTCTGTCTGTCTGGCGCTCTCTGTCTCTCCCTCTCTTTCCCTCCCTCCATCCCTGCTTTCTCTCTCTCTCTCTCTCTCTCTTTCTCTCTCTCTCTCTCTCTCTCTCTCTCTCTCTCTCTCTCTCTCTCTCTCTCTCTCTCTCTCTCTCTCTCTCTCTCTCTCTCTCTCTCTCTCTCTCTCTCTCTCTCTCTCTCCTTCCTTTGCTCCCTCTCCTTCTCTCCCTATCTTCCCCCTTCCTTACTCTTCTCTCCTCTCTCCTCATATAGGTTTTACATGCCTAGCATGCATTCTTATTACAATGGATAGTTATTCATGTGCATTTTCTTCCAGGAAACTTCTCGTCTTGCTCTGTGTAACATGGACTGGGATCGCATCAAGGCAGCAGATATCATGAAACTCTTTACTTCCTTCTGTCCAAGAGGTGGATCTATAAGAAAAGTGACAATATATCCATCTGAATTTGGAAAGGAGCGCATGGCAGAAGAAGTCTTAAAAGGACCTCGAGAGTTGGTTTCAGGCCCGGCAGACGAAGATGATGATATAAATCTTGTTGATCTTGAGAAACTAGAAAGAGGTAAATTGATTTTGTTCATCAGTCGTATTGAAAGTGTAGAAATGTATGTACTTTTCTTCTGTGAGTTTTGCCTTTTTTTTCTTTTTTTCAGAGGTATACTGTACTATTTTTCTTTCTATTTACTGGTATGGTGAGATCTTGGACCAGAAAATGCATTTTTGTGTACAGTTGTGGAATTTGTTTATAATGACAGCCTATGAAATTTACCCAATACTGTGAAGAACTTAGGTGTCTCAGTACAACTTATAATCATCTGATAAACATGAAACCATGTGCAGTTGTACATCAGTGGTCCTTCAGTGGCAGTTGGTATTGCACAACATTACGCTAGACCCAAAATCTGTCCTGTGATCCAAGGCAAGACATGCAGCTAAGCCCTGCCCAATTTTGTGACGTAACAGAAATGGCTGTGGTTGCTTGCTGGCTGTTTTGCTGTATTGGTTATTTATTCAAATGGTACACAGTATTTTAGAATCTAATATCCTAGGTGGCTTATGATATCTTATGATAGGTTATGCTGCATTATAGATACCCAATATATGTACAAATATGCATGAAAATTACCAAGGTAATAGGAATGCATCTAGCAACTCTATATATGTTTACTACCTGCTCAATTTCTGTCATGTGAGAGGTATTCCGTGGTCGTAACTGTCGGAAAAGACAACTCAGATGCTATAGTTTGTGAAATGGCTCTTCTAGACTACATTACTCGAGTGTAAGAAGAAAATTGAGAAAATTAGGGACCTTACATTATAGGAAATGGAGAAAAATCAATGTTGTAATGATTTTAGTTATTTATTTGTTAATGGACATTGTTATAATATGTGATTTCTTAGGCTATATATCCTAATATTTTTTGTAAATCTAACATTCAAACATCTAAAGTTACTAGGAAGAGGCTGGGGAAGTTTCATTGTAACATGTTAACCCCCTTCCTGGTTTGAGGGTTTATCAGATGAGAAGCTGTGAAACTTTACCCAAACCATAATAGTATTAACTTGGATATTAACAGAAAACCACTCTAACTTATGGGTGCGGGTGGTACTGTATACTAATAGTTTGCCAAAACAATGCTATCTTGTGTGAGGTGTTGGGCCATTGGTGAGCCACAATGTATCCTTCCTGTCTGAATGAGGGAAGCTACAGTCTTTTGCCATAATGGATTAAAGTTGGTTTAGACTTTAGAATCCAGAGTGGTTGCAGGAGAGTTGGATATTTATGTCCATCTCTCTTTCCTCTTCTCTTCTCTTCTTTTCTTTTCTTTGAGGGCAGGGGGTCTGTGTTCCTTCAGGTCCAAGATGCTTGCTTTATACAAATCATTTTTTGCTCAAACAACTTAAGTAAATCATATATCATTAACTGGAAACAGCCCTTCCAGCATTACAGTACACTTGTAAATCCTTTTCATTACTACAGTATAATGTTCTAGTCAGAGTAGAGTCTCATTTTCAAGGTACTGGCCTCCTCATTGAACACAAGTAAAGGTAACAATAGTTTTTTTTTCAGACTGTACATGTCCATTATGAGTTTAGTTTATTAATTGTATTTGCACATAGATGGCTTCACAAGTGCTTAGTCACCAAAGAGTCAATTACTAGAACCACCTATCTAACCTGTTTACCCTTTTCCTTGATTTCAGAGATATTTGTTTTTATATTTTATTGCTATTAGTATCATTGAAAACACTGTAATGATTATGACATCAGTAATAATGATAACAGCATTGCTATTAATAGCAGTAGAAAATAAAATTCTCAGAAGCTCAAGGAAAGGTGATATCATGTAAAGTCATGTAGTTCTATTAATTGACTCTTTGATGGCTTTGAAATGTAATATTTCACAAAACAGTACTACAGTGAAAATTATGTGGTCCTGATAGCATTAGGTTAAAGAATATCATTTTTATTATTATTTTTTTTTTCCAGCATAGAAATTGTTGAAATGTTATATGAAATATGAATATTTTTCATTGTCTT